TTGATGAGTTTGCCTGACCTTATTTTTAAATTGAAAACTCTCTGACTGCAGCAGAAAATAAACCTCCTGGGCCAGATGTTCACTGGTGTAAATGAGTGATTTACAGCACCAGAACAGATCCCAGGGGAAAATCCAGCCAAATCTGTTTAAAATCCAATGTAGACTAATATCAGAAAACAAATCAGAATCTCTTCTAGCACATATATTTCCGATTGCTCTTAACCCTATTACTTCCAAAGGTCATAATTAGATTATGTTAAAAAATCTTTATTACTTACACAGAATAAATGGATTACATGAACAATCTGATTACTGCACTTCAAACTAAGTTAAGTGGATTACCTTGCTKGAAAGTATTTGCTCATATTCAAAACCTGAATGTGCTTAACAAGAATCAGATTCTGAAACTGTGTCCAGATTATATTTTTGAYGTATTTTTGTAATTGCTGTTAAAAATCTAACTCTATTTATAACTACTCCCTTGCAAAAGTGGAATTACATTTAAAATCTCCAACATTAAAAAACAGTGAGATGCCACGACAAAAAAAAAGAGACAATATTTTACTATTSTAAAATATAACCTCATTGTGTTTCTAAACTGATTATTATGTTTGATTAGTGGCAGTTCTAATTTTGAGGTGCACTGCCAGGAACTACTCGTATTTTTAGAATTCAGTGGTACTTGCCTTTCTGGGGTATCTGTAGGGTACCATAATGTTTTTTTCCACAGCTCTGCAGTGAAAAATTATTTTTTTGCAGTATCATGAGGAGTATCAGGAGACAGAACAATACAAGCTCTTACCATCTAAAAAAGATCTTGAGTTAGGCAACATTCAGCAAGCACTAACTTAAAGAATAACGTTCAACAGAAAACTAAGTTGAATAATGCAATTTTCTACCAAAAAGTTGCTTTGAAGCCATTGGGAACATAAGCCAGGTCCCAGCCACACGCTGGGCCACATTTTTTTTTTTTTTTTTTGATTGTTAAGCTCCACAAAGCAGCCTTAAAATTCCCCACTGGGAGCACAGTAGAATCCTCAGCACCCAGGAGCTCTTCACTAGTGTCTGGGCAGACATTCCACATCATAGAATCATAGAATGCTTAAGGTTGGAAGGGACCTCAGAGGTCATCTAGTCCAACCCCCCTGCTCACGCAGTGTCACCTAGAGCACATGGCACAGGGCTGCATCCAAGCGGGTTTTAAAGATCTCCAAAGGAGACTCCACAACCTCCCTGGGCAGCCTGTTCTAAGGCTCTGTCACCCTCACAGGAAAGAAGATGCTTAAGGAAGTCCCCTTAAATGTATTYGAAGATATTTGTCTACATCTTTAATTTGTTAGTATCAGCCAAGGTTTCCCCTACAGGTAGAGTTATTTCATTAGCAGATGTTTTATATAGCTCCTAAAAGCAGTATCCTTACCTGTCCTCTGACAGGCTCCACTCCTGCTGAGTGTTCTACTTCAAATGGCCCAATGCACTACCTAGGGGAGGAAATAAGAATCTAGAATTTAGAAGCAGAGCTGGGCAAATCACTCTGAAATCTTTGGTCTGGTGGCAAAGCAAAGCAAGTCAGTTGCTTATGAGCCTCAACACATTTCCTTGTTCTCTTTCTAGTAAAATGAAGAGGTTAGAAGATTTCAATTGATTTCAGACTGAAACATTCATTCAAGCCAAAATGAAACACAGCAGAGGTTTTTTTTTTTGTTGTTGTTAAAAAGAAGTATTTAGAGATCATTTGATTCTTAAGTTCAAATGAATAGTCTTAGATACTACTACTTTCTTCAGATTTAAAAGTCAGACAGAGTTCCAATCCTAAGACAAATTCCTATTACAAGTCTATTACCATTTAATATCCAGTCACAGCAGCTGAATTTGTATTTTGCAAATAAATCAAAATTMTAACAGAATAATATGACTTTTCTGACAACAAACAGAAACCAGCCCAGAAGATGTGATGACAACCACTCTGCTCAACAAACCAGAAGAATCCACCTTTATCACCAAAACTCCTGTCCTAGTGACATTAACTGCCTCCTCCAGTGTTACCTTTCCATTGTAAGGTGAAGCTACTTTTCCTAATGCACCAGGTTTAATTTGCATCCTCACAGGAGCTACACATACAACACCTTGTAAAAGGAAACTGAGTTTATGAGGTCTGTTGTTCTATACAAACGGACAATTTTGCAGCTGACTCTCCAGATCATCTTTAGAGAAGTAAAACAAAATACATTTAAAAACATGCTCTCTTGCTGTGATTTTAAAGCCAAACACTTGTTCCTCTATCGGAGGAAACCAGTGCAGCTGTGAGAAATCCATGTAATAACATTGACTTACAGCAATTAGAGAGCTTACTCAGTGGGAAAAATCCTGTTTTCATTCAAAGTATTGTTTCAGGTTGAATCAAATGGACTTAAAGTACTTCTGATTTACATTTGTTTTACACTAATCTGTCTCCATTTACGTTTCAGAAATGTTCTCCAATTTATACCAGCACGCGAGCGGTGGCGGAACACTGCTCCTGGCTATGGTGTCATTAGTGGGAGCATTTTAAACTGGAAACAGATATTTCTTGTAGGTTGACTAACAAATCCACAAACTTGGATTTATGGCCACTGAGGTTTCTCCTCATCTATATCACTGAAGTGGCTCCCGGGAACAACATGACAGGATCAGTCTGAATTGAAATTTTCTTCCAGAGAACTTCTACTTTAGATACTGCTGGGGAGGCAGCTGTAAGCCATACACTGCCTGTGAGTGACTGCAAATATACTGGATCACTCTGTTTGTGCCCTTCATAGATATCTAGCTTTGCTTTATTTTTCTATTCTGCCATCCTGCCAGGGCGATTTGATTTCCCTCCACTCACGCAGAGTTGTAGGCTCTTGAATTTCTAAGTTCACTTATGGTCCGGAAAAAAAAATACAGAAATAATAGTTAGAATCACTGCCAATTAGTCCAGAAGGAAAGAACACAGCTTGAATCTAGGGCAGAAACATGGAATGTCTGAGATCTGGTCAGTGCATGCTGCAACACCACGCACTAAAATAAGGGTCCCACACAACTTTGTGCTGGGAAATGTAGACAGACTCTGGGGATTAAAAAAGAACAGTTACCTTTGCTGTGAACTAACTTAAACTTCTTGTCACGTACAAGGCAGTGAGGCCAACGGTACCACATCCCAGCTTTGACCTATCATGAGCAAATATCAGTCCTGTTCCCCCTGCACACACTTGCTCACACACAATTTGAACATATTTTGAGTACACATATGCTGCCCCAAGTGGGTAGACCTTATTTGACAAGGGGACCTACATGCCTCGAAGTAAATAAACATATGAGAGAGAAGCTTGTGAGTGGTGCTTGAAGGTAATTTTCTCTTGGCTTGTATGATTGTAGAGGAATCTACTAGCAAATAAGCAGTTGCTGGAGTTTGGGGCTCTGCCACACACAATGCAAGCTCAGACACCAACGCCAAATTCTGCTCTGCAGCTTAAATCCAGAACTTCACCTTGAAGGCCCAAACTGGCAAATTACCTCTTCTCTAACTGATCTTTTCTGTAATGAATCCTCTCCTACATGGAATTGCCTAAAGCCATTCTGTTTAGAAACTGTACTCATGTTTGTTTTTATAGGTGGACTGGTGAGATCAAGAATTAGCTTAACTGGTTTAACATCAACAATGTGAAATGTCTTATGAATTACTAAAGTCAAACTCACCTAATGACTGCTTTCTTCTTTGTTGTTACATGTTTTTTCAGTGTGGGACTGGAGATGAAGCACTTATAAAATGCTCCTGCTCAGTGGACTGGGTAAAATAATGCTGCAAAAGTCACAAAAATCACCAGCCAGCAAACCTGCAAAACTAAGTACCAATAATAATGTGGAAACACATTACAGATTTCTAGACATAAAACTAAACATTAACTTTCGTACCAGTGCAAGTAGAACAATTTTAAGTGCCAAAACACACACACAGTGTACTACATTTACACACATTGTAAATACTACATGCATGTACTGCAACTACAAAATGTGTGTATACATGCAATATTACAACCGATTATTAGATGGTAACAACAGCATACATGAAGGAATTATTCCTTATATAATACATGTAAGTTCAATTATCAAGTTGTGTTTTTCTGAGTTCTGGAGATTATGAGTGAAATGTATAGCAGGACTGCAACTGCAGGATGTGGAATGAATGATTTGGCAAGTTATTTGACTTCGAACCCAGTCTACCAAGGCAAAAAAACAGATAACCCAAACACAATGTAAACCCAGTTCCAGTCAGCTAAGCATGGACCACAACAGGTCAAAGTCCAGAGCAAATTATCCTAATTGACCACAAAGGAATTTTGAATGTCAGAAGAGTTTTAATGACACCAAAATCATCAGTAAAACTCTTGTCTTCTGTATGGTACAGTTTCATCCAGAGCTTTTCTTAACACTTTTGACTTTCCAAACTCTGGAAATAGCTGCTTGCTTTTATGCCCTTCAAACTGTGGAGAAAAAAACAAAACAAACAAACAAACAAAAAAACAAACAAAAGCCCAACCCTTAAACGTTACTTATCTGCCCAACTAGCCAGCTACAAGACCAGGGATGGGTCCCAGATGTTGTGAATCTCAGGCCATCCATTTTTTGGGTCTGAGTGCATAACTGTAAAACACTTGACTAAAGCCAAGTAGAAAGACCTAGCTGTGAAGAGCCCTAGTGATGTCCCAGAGCACATGACTTTTAAAGGAGGCTGAACTGTGTACAGAGAAGAGCTTAAGGCTGACACAAGTCACAACTACAGACAAATGTATTCAAGAAACTTGAGGGCAAAGACGGCTGATAATTTGATCATCAGCTTTATAATTAAGTAATCGATATGTGTAAAAAAATTGAAATGTTTTAAAATCTCTGTGAATGCTAAGAAGCATGAAGAAAAATGAAGACTATCAAAAAAGAGGAATGAAGTAAATACTGTATTTATTGACATTCATTTCATTTCAGCAGACACTAGTACAGAATTTGTTTCCTTGACATAGCCAAAGTGTTTAATCTCATGTTTTCTTTTCTCAAAAGTGGCATTCTTCAAATTTCACTCTGATTATAGCAGACAGAGAACTCCAAGCAGTAAGATACAGTTGCAAGAAACTTTCTTTCCTGGCCAAAGATGCTGCTGATCCCCAGCTATGTTTTGTTTAATGAGTAGGACTGCTGAAGGCTTGAGACATTTTTATCAATTTATGAAAATTCACCTCAGAAATTTTAAAATGCCTGAGTACGAACTGCTAAGAACTAATATAACCTTAAAACATGGCACTATTGCATATGCAACTGAGACAAGCAAGGCTGTATACAGTACATATTTATTCATAAACCTAAATGTTAAATAGAGATATGATCATCCAAATGAGATTACAGCTTGTTCACTGGTTTCACCACTATCTTAATGGAGCAGTTACATCAGAGAAATTTGCATGGTGTTAACTGAATGAAAGAAACTCTGTTAGTTTCCAAACAATTTTATACCCGTTTCCACTCTTTATCCCTCAACTCGTTCCTCTTGATCTTTCCAGTGACTGTCTTTGGCAGTTGTTGGACAAATTCCACCTACACAAAAAAGGCAGAAAACAATGTAGCAAATTCTCTGGAGAATCCCTTTGAGTTGGCTTCGCAAGGTTGTCTCTCAGCACATGTGAAAAACTAGGAGCACTCCAACAGTAAGAAGTGCTTGCCTAAAGGATCAAGTCCAAGCCAAATCAAGGCAAAACAACGTGCAGCTTGTGAAACAATTTTTCCCCTGCCTAGATGGCCAAACATCTGTGTAGCTGCCCCCCTGCTAACTAAATTGGATCCCTGAGCAGAAGAATGAAGAGTCATGGGATATTAGAGGACAAAGATGAATTGAAAGGGAAGGAAGGATGTTATTGGGACAAAGTCTTTAAGGGTCTTTAGTTCCTTTCAATTCCACACAAGTGAACCAAACCTCTGCTAATAGCTCCTTTCTTGTACAGCCAAGATTTCTGAGATACACCATGTGTATCCACTTGTGTTCTTTTGATTTATTCACTGTGAGGATCAGTGCATAAATTGTTAGACAGATTCAATCAGGTACTTCCACTAAAGCTACCTGAGCCACTCAAGTGGCTTCTGCTTGGTAAAAAGTAAAATGAAGTAATGAAGTAAAAGATGGAGAATTATGATGAATTATGATTTTGATCCTGATAAAGGACAGAGAGATCTAACTAGCAAATCATACTCAGCCTAGAAACATATGAAAATTTTAAACAAATGACTTAATTCTAAATGAAAAAAAAAAACAACACAAACTAATGATATTTAGGAAAGGTTTTCTGTAGTCTGTACTCTACCTGAATCTTGATAATGGTATCTTTCAGATCAGTCATAAAAATCAAAATAGCAATTCTCCTGATATTTATGGATGTGTGCCCTGTGTTTAAGTTTTTACTCAGAAGTATTTACCTTTCTGGGATACTTGTATGGAGCAGTAGTTTTCTTGACATGCTCCTGTAATTCACGGGCTAAACTCTCCTGGTCATCGCATGTAAAGCCAGAGGATAGGACCACAAATGCTTTCACAACCTGCAAGATAAAAGCAAAAGAAGTGATCTGATACAACCATTTTTTAAGAGCTTTTAAGAGTTACTGAGATACACTGTTTACCAGTGAGTAGTATGGCTTCGAGTCATGACATGCAAAAGGGAGGAACAAATCCTCTATGAAGTGGCTGTGTCCAACTTCACGTACATGAAAGAAAAGTTGAAAGCTCAGTTTTCTGACTCTCATTTCACAGCAAGAGATCTTGCTTTATCCTCTCACAAGGCATGTAGAATAACAGGTTAACAGGTAACTCTGCAGAGTTCTCCCTGAAGCTTAGGGATATTTCGCTAACATTCACACTGGGGACAACAGGCCTACATCATCTTAGAGCAGCATGATATTGATAGTCATTAAATATTTTATCCTGACAGAAATGATCATGCACTAGGCTGCACAGGTCCTAGTAGTACTGAAGTCCTAGAAGTACTGGACAGTCCCTCATACATTTATGTGAACTGTAACACTGGATCAGTTATTTTATAACTTTGATTAGACTGAGACAGCCAGGAAAGACAATTTCAGTGCGTATGTATGTGCTTAATGACAAGAACGTCTGATGAAGGAAAAGCATCTGCCACTGTAATGTTCTCCACAGAGAAGACCCTTATGGGACTAAGAAGAGTAGGACATGTAAATGGGAAAGGGTTTTACTCATCACACCAAGTTGGATTATCCATGGTGACATAACTGCCTTATATTCGTACATTATTCAGTAAAGCAGGATCTGCCTTATAAAGTTACATATTTAAACAAGCATATTGCTTCCCCAACTGCTGTTCAGCATCATTACCTCTCCCCGGAGGGGATCTGGGCTGCTGACAACAGCTGTTTCTGCTACCGCTGGGTGCTCTATAAGGGCACTCTCTACTTCAAATGGCCCAATGCGATACCTAGGTAAGAAGAGAATAATGAAGGATTTGGTTTTATGAAAACTAGTATGAACAAAATTTTTAATTATTGCTTTTTTTCCCCTTCCCAAAACATTACAGAATCTTCAGGCAGAATAATGGAAATGTGTTAAAAAGTAGGAGCATGTCATGATGGTCATGTGACGGGACTGCTGGGGCACTGCCTGCTTTTCCATCTTTTTCCTCTTCTCGRCAGCTCTCTGCCTCGGCCTGCATCTTCCCCATAGTTGGGGTTGTAGTATCAGTTGACACCATGTTAAGCATCATGTCATATAAGAGCATAATTGTGCCAAAAACTATATACAATATGTAAACATTTCATTTTAACAAGTTCAAAATGAAATGTTTCAATGCTCTTTGACAGAAATGACCTTGAATTTTAGTTCAAAAAAAAAAAAAAGAAAAAACACATACATACAAAATCCCAAAAACTAAATTATTGTCCCTTCTCTATCACAGAAATCTTCATTCTCTTTTTAAACAGATGAGACACTGAAGGGAAACAGGTGTGCTTAGACATCATAGACATGAGAAGATATTCCTAAGTCAGAGGCCAGCGCATTCACCACAGGACCATCATGTCAGAAACTTGTCAGGAGCACATGTAAGTTTATATAACAACATATTTAGAAAAGAAGCATGCAAACTGACCCTGCAGAAATGATGATATCATCGTCTCTTCCAATAAACCAAAAATATCCATCTTCATCTACAGTCCCTTTGTCCCCAGTGAGATAAAAATCCCCACGTTCACTTTCTGCTGTTTTCTTAGGGTTATCCTTGAAGTGATTTACAAATAGGAGTTTAAATTTTAAGTATGTGTTAGCTATACGTTATGCTATGATATACACATTAAATTCATTGGAACTTATTTTTTAATTCAAAGATCTTCAATAATTGTCTTGATATTGCTAAAACGTCTTTTAAAAAAGCATTTTGTTTAACTGTGGTTTTAAATTTTCCAGTTTTATTGCCTGAAAATACTCTTTTTCTTTGTTTCAATGTCACACAAGTTTAGAAAAGTTTTTCCTTTTCTAATTGCCATCAATCCACACAAATCAATTACTTAGCTCTTCTTTAGTTTCTTTGATGTCTTGGTCAATACTCAACATATATATTTATATAGCTTCTTAGATTTTGTACACTGCACCACTTCCACTTTTTTACCACTGCATAGTATTCCACAGTGAGATCATGATCACTAGTAAGAATATGTCAGGGAAAAACTTTAAACTGTTTTTTTTTTTCCAGATCCAGGTTTTAAAGGTATTGAACCATAATCTGAATCCAAGAATGGCCTGAATTAAAGTCTGGATCTACATTTTCCCACTGTTCTGAAATTAATCTAAGATTCTCTCTAGACAGATTATTATGGTAGTTCATGAATCAAACACAGGCTAGCAAACCTGGAAACTGAAGTGAAATACAGAGTCTTTGTAAGCACTATGGAATTGGACAGATTTTGGCGTGATTAGGTATGTTTGTGTGGGGAAGGATAAAATAAACTCCTTACTACATATTTAGAGAAGAAACCAAGTGGTCTTATAGGTTTGCTTCTGATAGCAATTTCCCCCTCTTGTCCTGGAGGCAGAATATTAGCATTTTTATCTATGATCTAGAATGAAAAACAACGTTTATTTTACTCTAACAAAAACAAAAACAAAGAAACAACAACAAAAAACTAATCACTTATGAAAACCATTTAAACAGCAGTCAACAGACTACATTAGCAAACCTGAACATCATATAAGGCAGCTGCTTTTCCCATTGATCCAGGTTTAACCTTCATTGCTTCAGAAACAGCGCAGATTATTCCCTGCAAAAAATCACAATCAAAGGGTTAGCTATAGTAAACAAATAAACTATACTTGCATTTAGTTCATTAAATGTATTCTCTAGCATACTTCTAAGTGAAGAATTAAGATCCATAGGATCCTGTATGTTTGTACCATATAGTACAAACGAGCAAAATAAAAATACTCGCCCTAAAACTCTGGTCCACTACCTGTACAGAAGTCAAGTCTCCTACTAGCCAGTCTTTTTCCTTCGGCACAGGCTATGCCCTCATCTATCACAGTTGCTTAGAACGTACTTAAGAATATTTATGAAAAAATCAGAGCATATCCTCTCCCAATCACCCACGTTTCTGAAAGGTTTTGTAAGAAACGTCATGTAAGGCATTTCTTTCAGTGATTAGCTGTGAAAGAGGTTACTGCAACATGAAGGAAGAAAAGGGCCATGCTCTTGAAAAACAAACATTAAAATAAAGCAAAAAGAAATGCCAATGATCTAATAGAATACCGATCCTATAAATGTACCATTTCAGTCTGGCCATATATTTCACGGATGTCCAGTCCCGTCTTGCTTTTCCACTGCTCCATGACTTCTGGGTTGACTGGCTCCCCACCACTGACACAGCGCTTTAGGTTCCTGAATTTGTAGCTTAAGAAGGATTTGAAAATCAAGATATGCACTTGATGGACATAAGGACCTGTTTAGTTTCCAGGTGTCTCTGTTAGCAAAATGGCATGCAAGTATAAACAAATGATACTGGAGAGCTGGTTACTGCGACAGCAGGTTACTGGGAGTGTGGAAAACAGGGTTTGTACTACTCTGGCTCCTTGTAAAGCAAAGATGTTAGTCTGGGCTCAACATTATGTACACTAGTTGTAACAGTCAAAGAGTTAAGCAMAGACAAAACCCAAAGAAAAGCTTTTGCTGGAGTCAGCTGGGACGTAAGCACATGCTTACAATGAACCACAGAGATTTGCTGAGCCAGCGTCCTGACTGATGACCCTTGGAAGAGCCTAAACCACAAGGTGTGAAAGGGCAGGAACGAGCAGCAGCCGAGTCAGAGGATGACGGCCACATGAAGTTAACACACTGTGAGAACCATGTTCCCCTGCACAGGATCAAGAAACTCCGTAAAATCCATGCATTTTTTGTGAGTGTCTTTTCATGAAGGCTGTTTTAAACTAAATTACGGTCTCATTTGTGGTGAGATAGATCTGGGAGATGATCAAAGTACAGTTAAAATAATTAAATCATCTCTTGACATACCCGGAGAAATCGTTCTGCACCAGCATACGAAACAATGTCGGAGCACCGAACAGAGTGTCCACAGGGTATCTAGAGAGAGTCTAGTGAGTTGAATAACAAGACAGACACATGAAGTTCAGAAAAAAAAAAAATCACCACAAGTATAGTAAGCCAGCAATGTAAAGAGGGCTTTCTCCATACATTTAGGATGGTGGATGATTCGATCTGTGGGAGGCGGTGTATAAAGACACATGATCCAAAAACCCAGGGATCAAAAACAGATGCCACTGAAGTTACTATCCAGCCTGTGTCTGCTGTGTTCCATATTATGTTTGAGGGAGTCATATCCAACCAGTACCTAATACAGCAGAAAACAAATTAACATAAAACATAAACATAAAAAACACACACACAATCCCAAGGTATTTAACCAAGTATGTGGGCAATGGGCACCCAACTGGTACCCCTGTACCAYAGAAGTACCTGTATATATACATATGCATAAATAAATATGACACCAGCCATAACAGAGGGTAAAGGAAGGAAAAGGGAGGAGTGTGAATTTCAATGAAAGACTTCTTACAGAAAGAAAGAAAGATAAGGCTAAAGGAGCAGCAGGTGAGGATGCTGTGTTGCACAGCAGGTATTCCACCATGAATTGCAAGGGCTCCTGAGACATTAGGGTGATCTGTGAAATCAATATTAATTCTGCTTCTTTATAGTTACATGTCACAAAGTTTTCTGTAGCCTAAACAGCATGACACCTCTTGGTGCAGTGCTCTAGACTATTCCCAGCTGACGGCTGTCCCTTGAATCACTTTAAGGAAAGGTCCAGAGACATTCACTGAGAAAAAGGAAAATACAGGAACTGATCCCACTCGCCTAGAAATCTGCAACTTCTAATCTGAGGTTGTAGGGAGTGGAACTGGAACCATACATCAATTATTTCTTAGTACATTTTAATCAGCTCTACTGCGCAGCTCACATTAACATATGTTCAACAAGGCCCAAACCTTTCATACCTTTCACCCAACAGGGGTCTGAAACCAAGACTACCCTGGGAATGTTCAGCCATCTTTGGAGAACCTGTGGTTCCACTGGTAAAGAAGATACATATTGGGTCTTGAATGCTTGTTTTGACACAGGAATGGTCATCAGACTGGTTCCTTTAAAACAGAGAATGCAATCAGGATCTCAATAGTTACAAAGACTCCAGAGTGCAACCATGAACTACATGTTGTAGAACTCGTACCCTAAATAAGCTTTACAGGCACTTTTGACCAAATTAGWCTAAAATAACAAAGAGTAACACTTTATTCTCAGATAAACTTCCTCTTGGAAAAAAAMCAGGAAAGAAACTTCCTGGCATAAGACTCCTATTAAGCAATTCTCATGTGGAAACAGCAGCCAGGCAGTTGTGATTAACATTACAAAGACTTAATGTTGGTATTTGGTGGATACCTATAGTCAATGAATACTGGTAAATGAGCACTTGTAGCAAAATTCAAATTTCTTCATCATGACCACAGTGTCACAGACTTACCTGTACAAATCAGTGAAGTTGATCCATCCCTCCCTGCTGCCTTTGGACACAATTAGCTTGTTTTTCAGAAACTGACACTCAGATGCTACTGAATCCACTGCAGGAGCCAGGGTGTCATTGGTGACGATGCAAGTGGCCTTTGAAGCCTGCAGTCGATATAATATGTCTTTGGCTGTTAATTGGGATATTCCTGGAATAAAGACAATTCCTGGAAAAGCAATGAGGTTATTGTGGGATGGCAGTTTTTAAACATAGTCCTTTTTCTAAGAGCATAAACTCAGTTAATTATTCCCAAACTGGCCTCAGAGATGATTTTTCCCTCACATTCCCAGTCAAACAGGCACAATGGGGTAATGAAGCTGCTCTGTGCTCTCCTGGATGGAATTAAAYACATTTCTAGCAGATGAACTCCATGGCCTTCTGTTAGTTCCATGCTTGCTGCACAAGACATCTGTCCTTTAGCACCTAGTGCAAATCCATCAGGACTGGCTGCATATTTGGTAGCTAAGCCAATTACTAGGCTAATAATTTACATTATTTTTCATCGTATACCACAGATATTCTTGACTGGCTCAATCTACTTGCAATACGAAACACTTCTCCAAAGCTCATATATGCTCACTGACCTGTACGCATGCAAGCCACGTTCATCAGCCACCATTCTGGGATCCGTGGCAGGATCACAATAATTCTGTCCCCCTTTTGTATCCTGCATACTTTAGTCAGTGCATTGGCCACTTKCCGAGACAGGAATCCCAGCTCTTCAAAGCTCCACTTCACTTCTTCTCCTTTTCCATCTGTCCACCAATAGGCAGGGTTTGATGCTCTCTTTCCAGTCTACAAAACACCAGAAGGATTCAAAACAGAAACAACTTCTTCAAAGACGAGGAAACTATAATGCACAAATACCTGCAGATTATGAATATTCAAATATTTCACAACTTACGTATATGCTCTTACTTCTCTTCTGTCCCTCAYGGGTGTAAGACTTACTGTGGCTATGGACCAAGCTCAGATATTTGAAATAAAATTGCCCTTTTGAGATCCTAGACCTTTACCACCCCAGTTATCTCTGGACTCAATTCCTAGTCCAGGCTCATTTCAGGAGTATTAAGGCTTCTATATTGTTAAATATTTCACCTAATATCCCTGATGTTTTGGACACAGTTGTGGAATGCTAATACACAGCAGTAGCACAGGTGGAGGACAAAACAACAGGAAGAGGCAGTATCACAGGGATATACACCTTCTAGCGTGRGAGGGGGACTAAATGAAGGACAGTTTTACAATAAAGCAGAAAATAGGGAGATTTTGTAAAACTTTCTAATGCAAATTGCTTTTAGTAAATGATTTTTAATAACAAATTTGGAATGGATTAAAGTATCTCATCTGCACGACAGAGATTACCTACCTTTTCAATCTCAGACCATTTGTCCAGTACATCACTTGCAAAGTTAAAGTACTTTGGAATTTCTTGTTGACCCCGCCTCACAGACTGATACTGTGAATATACATCAGAGGCAAGCAACCTTGGGTGTTCATGGAAAACTCTATGATGAAACTTCAAAGACAAGGATTTTAGAGTCTGTAATTTAAACAATATCTTCATGGCAGCAGACGATGTATATGCAGATGCTGTACACTATATAAGGAAGTTAGTAGAACTGTTGCTGTGAAACCTGGAACAAAAATAATGAAAAACAGAAGACAATCATTATCCTCGAATTTTCCACTCAAAGAAAGAAAGATGATCCAGATACAAAATCATTCATTATTAAGTGAAGTCCCTTCAGCTAAACGTGGCAAAGCTGATGTTTCTAACCATTCAACGAAATGGAAAGCTCCCCATCCTACTTTTCCGCTTTTTAAGGACTTAATCCAGTGAACTGATTTGGCATCTTGTCTGTACCTCAGCAGATCCTCACGGATTCATGATGTGCTCCCTGGAGCTGCTAGCTGTCCACAACTCTCATTAGTTAAACACAAGATCAGACGAGTTGTCCGCATTATGGGTAGGTTACATGTTCTTACACCAAACGCTAGTAGTTGATTCTCCATTTCACTTCCATACCATGGAGCTGGAGGAAGTTTTCAAGCTATTAAAATCAAGTTTCTCACAGCTTTAGCTTGATCATTTGCTGATTTACTCATTTACTACATATATCCCAAGATCCTATACTTCAGTACTTCCATCACAGAGGTTCCCAAATTTGATGTACRCTTCTACATTTGTTCATTGTGAATGTCATCTTCCATCTATATTCACCATACTATTACTAAAGGTTCTAGAGCTCTGTTACTTTCTTCCTTTCCAATACTACTTTCATTAYCTCATTTTTATTCTATGTCTTAACATTTACTTTCAACAATCTGCAAGCTTGCTTCATTGCTTTGACATACCAAGACTTTCATGCTATTTAGCACCTTCTGATAAACGTCCATGGACATTACCAAGCATGGAATAAAGCCTGGTTCCCCTATGGATGACCATGCAATGATAGCAGGAGCCAGCACAGTCCTGGAGGTCCCTATATTGTTTTTTTTTAACCATTAAGCACTAGCTACTAGGATCAGTACAAGGTTAAGCGAGTGGCTGGTGATACACAGGCTTAATTTTCTTTCCTGTTTTCACAAAGGATGAAGCTATCCACAAGTTAAGAAGAAATGGCGCTTATAGGTATATTCTTGATTTTTTTTTGATGCAGAATGTCTCTGGCATGAGTGAAGTTGCAAAGAGTTAGTTTTGCCCTTTGTCCTTGTCTTTTAAGCTCTGTATTCAGCATTATACTTACCCTTGTCCTGGATCTTCAAGCATAACCGCTTACCCTCACATCCCTGATGTGATCCATGCCCTAAGCCCTTTACCCTTTACTATCTACTCTAGTTCCCCATACCTCATGATGGCAGTCTGCTCAYAGCAGACCAAGTGCAGCCGGCTAAACTGTAAACTGTTCCAATGGTGAGAGCCAAGGAGACCTCAGATTTTGTTAGTTCATGGCACTGTGTTCACAATTTTAGCCATCTTRGCCATTCTCCATCAAATTTTTGACCTTTTTACTTCTAGGAGACTTTCCCAAATGAAACTGCTGCTGTGGAATGGACCAGTTCCTTGACAAACCCAGGTGTACCTGTAACTTTCTCACAATATCAGTCTGGTTAAGACAGAAAATGGATGACAAACATGATTAAAACCCAGTGCATGCCTTCAGATAACTACGGTACAAACACTGTAGGGATCRTGACATGAGGTATATGACAGCCATGCCATTCACTGAAGATCAGGCTTCTGGAGCACAAAATTAATACCTTAGATTTTACTTACATTTTAAATCAAAACTCTGCAAAGAAAGAAGCTGGTGGAACATTAATCTAAAAGATTTTAATGGTGAAAAGTAGTCTTTTAAATATTCTCCAAATTCTATGCCAAAAATGAACATTTAATTTCTTGTTATGTAATACTCTAACTGAAATATACATTCATATCTTCTTAAAGGAAAAAAAAAGAAAAAAGAGATCAAGAATATTCAAAAATAGTACTGAAGACTGGAAACATAATTTTGAAGATTTGCAAAAGGAAAACATTCTAAATTCTGGATTCCCACAAAAACATATTTAAAATATTGAAGAAGAAGTGTATTCAAAAGCTTTAACAGTTTTTCATCTTCAAACTTAAAGATGAAAATAAAACAAGACACWTGAGGTAAAGACCCAGTCATGGCCAAGTCCTCTAAATACTGCAAGAATGAGAAATGATTTTTCCGTATTTAGTACCACTTGCTTTTTCTCAATGACATTGAGATAAACGATACGTTTTCCTGACCTGGTTGCTGTGGACAGTACAGACCGAGAGCTGCTGTGGTTCTTCACTGGTCTCCTTCACAGGTTCATTCAGCTTTCAGGAAGTGTGTTTCCAAGAAGTATAGGGAGACTGGCTGTTGTTTGGAGATGTGGAATCTGGACACCCAGTCTAAGAGGATGTGTAGAGAAGCCCTTTCTGCTTTATCATTTGCTTCTTTTGAAGTGAGGAGAACAAAACATTGTATGAAACAAACCAAGCACTACAGCATTTTTCCTTGTAATCATTTACACTGCTGTGGTGTACACAGTTTGCACCTTAACCCAAAGCACTTTGTCTCTTTTCTGCTGTTTTAACCATTTAATTAGATTATGAATTCATCAAGGCAAAGAGAAGTAGTTTGAAAAACATGTCTTTCTCCTTCCACCCAAAAAGGACTTTGTGGATATTTCAGTGACAGTTTTTGAAGGGAGAATATCACATCACCATTGCTGATACCAATTACASGACAAAGACTTTTATGATTTCTCAATTTATTGGTAATTGTCAAAAAGTTGTAGTTAGGTATTTTTAAAAGAAATCTATTTATGTTAATTCTAGCAAAAAATTGCAAATCTTTGTACGTTACCAAATCTCCTCATCTCTCTCCCTTACTCTTCTTAATTATTTGTATTCCATTCTTTCTGAAAAATTGAAAACTGATAGCAAAAGTGGTCCTAAAAATCACACATCCTGTTACAGCTGTGACAGAATTATTATCCAATGCATATGAAAGTCATGAGTATGATCTCCTTTCTTCGATTCTTTGGTAACTTGTTCTCCCATACATTATCTTAGTACTCTGGGTAATAACAACATGCCAAGTTCTGTGCTACAGCTGGTACAGATGGTAGAAATATTTTCTCCTCATTTTCTGGATCATGTTACGCTCTTCCCCACTCTTTATTCCTTAGAATCTTCCTCTGAATTTTCCCAGCAACAGTCTTTGGCAGAGCCTGAATGAATTCAATCTGAATGGCAAAAATGACCACTTTTAGCTAAATACATTGCAAATAATCTCCGCGGCGCAAGGAAATGCCCACATGTATTATAGTTATATTAAAAAGGTGAGAAGATGCATGACCTGGGCTGGGACAGGGAAATTTCTTATTATGTATTTTAGCCRGACTACACAGGCAGTTGTAGGGGCAAATATTGCAATCCCGAAGAGGCCACTGCTTAAACTGTTGGGACAAGGAGTTACTGGCATCTTCCCTGATTATAAGGAATGGATTCCACACCCTGATGCCAGTAGGAATTTCTCTCTTGAGAGTCTGAACAGAACTCAAGGGAGGACTTGAGAACTGAATTCCCTGTCTACTGGAGTCCTTGAAAATCCAGGCAAAGAAAAATCATATCATCAGCTGGGGAATGACCCTTTCAGTTCTTTCTAGCTCACAGAGTGAACCCAAGCTACCAGCTACATCTTTATTTTCACTATATTTGGAGTGCTTGTAAGAAAATAGTTGACAAAGAAGCTGAAGTAGGACAAAAATATTTCARTTTCGGACACAGTTAGAAGACATGTCTCTATATGGTGAAGTGGTGCACCTACCTTTCTTGGGTACTTGTAAGGAGCAGTCACATTTTTGACATGTTGCTGAAGATCACGAGTTAGTTGTTCTGGATCGTGTGATACAAAAGCAGGAGCCAAAACAACAAAGGCTTTGACTACCTGTGCCACAAAAGTTAAGGTTCTCTGTTATTTCCAGATGTGGGAAATAAAGCATGTTTTTATTGCCAAATTTCAATATCAAAATCCAGAAATGTGAAAATTTGAGCTTTTTTTCTTTTAGTTCTCTCTATTGGCTGTTCGTCACTGAATACAATATAATAAAGGATATGAATTATGGGAGGGTAATGCTAAGTGTTATGGTTTTTATATCTTTCTTCTCTAACTTTAAATACCATTAAACTTTCAAAAAGTTTCAGAATAGAAAAAAAATCTGAAAATCTCACTTGAGAGCTCAAATAAATGTCACAAAGTTGAAAAATCTAAGAAAAAAAATGATAACTTCTGGATATCATTTCATATACTTACTGGCAAAAAGAGAGAAATAAACACCTGAATACAATTTCTTATACAAAAAGATGCCACAATTAATCTGAAAATGCAAATCTTTTTTTCTACATGAAACTTTGCAAATAAGGAATTAATTCTGAAATTCTAAAATCTGTCAGGGCATGGTTTTTAACTTTTTAAATCTATTTTTAATTCCAGGTAAGACTAGTACACATGATTCATATCATACTTAGAGTAAATTTATTTTTTTCTTTTCATTTTTACCTCCCCTCGAATTGGATCAGGACTGCTGACAACAGCTGACTCTGAAACTGCAGGATGTTGTATTAATGCACTTTCAACTTCAAAAGGACCAATACGATACCTATAAGAAAATGCAAGTATGACAGTAGTAGCAAGCTAGCCATTCAACTGAACTTTCCCAATTTAATATTGGGATAAAACAGAACATCATTAACAGGAAAATGAGCAAATTTGAAAGCAACCGACTTACCCAGAGGAATTAATTATATCATCAGATCTTCCAACAAACCAGACATATCCTTCTTCATCCATAATCCCTCTGTCCCCAGTGATATAAAAATTTCCACGCACAGTGGCAGCAGTCTTCTCTGGATTATCCTGACAACAGTCAAACAACATTTCAAAATATTTATCTAGTGGTTAGTGAAATCTTATTCTCACTTTGCAGTGGTGCTAAAAATGATCAAGACTGCATTTTATAGCTAGTCGCAAAACTAGTATATTCAATGCTATCTTATGCCTTTAGTTAAAAAAGAAGTACATTAATTAGCAGCTTTGCAGTGAAATATGTGAGAGCTGAAAAAGACGTGTATGCATGTTCAAAAGTAAAAAAGGCTGTATTCCATCAGAATGTCCATCTGTCACAGCACATTATTTAAGCGCATAACCTACTCTCTTTACACAAGTGATTTTTTTATTGCAGGAATCTCCATAACAACTTCCTGTCAGTCATTTCTGACTTTCAAGATCAAAGCAAAACCAGATGATCTACAAACGCACTTCATTAACTACACTGATCTATCATAGGCTAGATTGTACTGCTTAACAGTGGAGGACTTAATGACAAAGGACTTTTTTTTCTTTACACAAACAGCAATCAATTTGTATCTATTGTTGACAGGGAATACCACAGCCACTTAAAATACTGTGCGAGTTCAGAAGAGGATTAAACACATGGACAGGTTCCCTAAGGGTTATCGAACACAGTTGCCCAAATGCAATGGGTAAGAATATTTTTATAGTTGCCTGATTCTAGTTTTTTCTTAAGGATGTGCTCAGCACCACCAGGAAAAAAATACTAATCTATGAAAACCTTTGACCTGAACCATATCAGCCATTCTTCTGACATATTTCTTCTAGCCTTCTTCTTCCACTTTCAGGCTATTTGAATAGTTATTTTAGGTTATATATGCCACTCCCATAAACCTGTTAGATTATCTGCACCTGAGGGTTTTGTGCTGTAGCATGTTTTTGTGTTGTACATCCTGAGCACATCATCTACGTGATGTATAATCACACAAAGACCTGTTCTAATACCAAAGATTTCAAAAGAGCAATTTTTAAAGATTTAAAAGATCAATTTGTGCTCCATCAATTTATGATTCTCAGTGACTCAGAGTTGTATGCAGGGAAGAAAAAGATGCTTCTTCTGCTCTTCTGCTCTTCTGATCCGAAACAAGGTATCTCCTGGTTCATGCTGCACCTTAAAGTTCCAGTGGCCAGTCAGGCTGCTTTTGAAATAGCAGCACAATGTTCTTACTGGGTTCAAAGTGCCCAAAGAACTTAGTGAGATTTCGTGAACATGCTGAAAGAAATCCTAGGCATTCAGTAAAGTCAACAGAGCTTTGCACTAGGTCTCTCGAGATTCTCAACTGGCACAGCCAGGCCAACTCAAACCTACCAGGTACTGAGAGAACAGACAGAACGGTCGTCTAGGTTGGATTCGGACAGCAATGTCACCTTCTTCTCCTGCAGGGAGAATAGCCCCATGGTCATCTACAATCTGCAGAAAGGACATATTATTACTATTGTTATTGCTCTGTCTTCCCTGAGCTAATCCAAGCTTACTTCTCTTACTCAACTTACATATTATTACACGACTACAACTGAACTCAGAGATGCAATGCAGTAACATACCTGCACATCATAAGGGGGCAAGGCTTTTCCCAAAGAGCCAGGTTTAATTTTCATTCCTTTCACATTGGCACATATTGTTACCTGCATAATAAATTGTAATCTTTTTATTTATACAGCATCTTGTAAACTTTATCCTTGGTGTGGACTAGGCAAAACAATTCCTCATGTCTTTGTCCAACTGTGTCATGACAAGGACTGAATTTGGAGCTGAGAGAATACCTTAAACCTGACATTTGGTAGCTCTGTTATGTTCAGTTACAGAAAAGTCTTGAATATGAGTTGATTTAATACTTTACATTAGAACCCCACACAGAGCAAATTATTTTTATTTTTGCTGTTTAAACAAACATGCTGAAGGGATTTGCTATAAGTTATTTAATCAGGATTTGTGTACAGTTTGTGCAGGAGAGMTGAATTCTGTAGTCATAATACTTCCTGTAAACATTAAAAAATGCAACTAGCTGATTTTGGAAGTTGATATAATAGGCTAATTTCAAAAGTTTATGAAAATGATTCTCACCTTTTCCATTGATTTATCAAGCACCTTGCACCTTTAGCATTGTTACCTTTGAAAGGATATATTGCAGGAATGAATACAAACATACCGTCTCAGTCTGGCCATAGCCTTCATGGATATCCAGGCCTGTTTGGGTTTTCCACTGCTTTATCACTTCAGGATTGAGTGGTTCCCCTCCAGATACACAGTGTTTCAGACTCATAAACTTGTAGCTTAAGAGGCACAGAAAACAACAGTAATTTTCTTAACTTCTGTAAAGAGCAGTGAATGGTCTTAACTGGGCAGACTGTCTCAACTATCAAAGGGTATTGCATGCCTAAAGCCTCACAAGCTACTTTGGAAATAACAATAATCATCCTGTTACACAGTCCTGGATTATGCTCCTAGATTGCTCATGCTATCACCAAGGGCAGGGCAGTTAATGTCTGGAGAAGTCTGGGCCAGAAAGTATAATATATTTTGTCGTAAAAACAGTGTTTTCTTGAAGAGCTGACAAAGAAGCAGAAAAGATTTGGACAAGCACATCAGAT